TCTCACCCACCTTACAGAGAAGGACTTCATCCTTCAAACTTCCACCTACCTAACAGAGAAGGACTTCATCCTTCAATCTTCCACTCCACCTAACAGAGAAGGACCTCATCCTTCAATCTTCCACCCTACCTAACAGAGAAGGACTTCATCCTTCAATCTTCCACCCACCTAACAGAGAAGGACTTCATCCTTCAATCTTTCACCTACCTAACAGAGAAGGACTTCATCCTTCAAACTTCCACCCTACCTAACAGAGAAGGACTTCATCCTTCAATCTGTACTGAAGGAGTTTAATGAACAACGTGCACCACTTCTATATATGAGAAAATAACAAAATAATTATAGTCATGAAGTCTTGATTTTATTTGAAGACCAGTCCTACCTTTAATGAGAACTAAACCCTGGACCTCCTCATGCTCTTCTTTAACCTATATAAACAAAGAAATAGTTATTTGAAAATTATACATTTTTCATAACCAAGAAACTGTAAGGTAATGAGCCATGTAAAACGTTCTTTCATTCTTTATTTATAAATACAAGTTGCTGAAAGCTATAATGTTAGTGTACAGGTATAACTTCTATTTTAAAAGCCAGTAATGTAGATGAAACATATGGAAAAGATCACTCATGGGAAGAAATCAAATGTGTTGATTTTAAAACAACTCTCCGGTGATGAAAAGACTTTAAAAACAAAAAGCCAAAGTTTTTTTACTTTCTTTCATAGTAAAGTTGATTTAAATCTGTAGCAACCAGAGTAACCAGGTTGTAAGTCAATGGGCCCAAGGTTCAAGACATGATGTTGAGACAATCGACCCAAGGTTCAAGACATGATGTTGAGACGATCGACCCAAGGTTCAAGACATGATGTTGAGACGATCGACCCAAGGTTCAAGACATGATGTTGAGACGATCGACCCAAGGTTCAAGACATGATGTTCAGTCAGTGGGCCCAAGGTTCAAGACATGATGTTGAGTCAATGGGTCCAAGGTTCAAGACATGATGTTGAGTCAATGGGCCCAAGGTTGAAGACATGATGTTGAGACAATCGACCCAAGGTTCAAGACATGATGTTGAGTCAATGGGCCCAAGGTTCAAGACACGATGTTTCTTAACATGCTCCATACTTTCAGCTATGAGCATGTAATAAAAGTGACAGTCAATCCCATTAGATTCAAGAGCTGGACAAAGAGCTATTGTGGTGGTAGGTGCTGCTGTATTTCTACAAGTTCAAAACTAAAACCAGCTATACCTGAACCTTAAGGGTCTTGGACCTGGATAATCTTTTGCCCAAGCGCATACAAGGTGTCATTCAGGCTACAAAATTCCACCTTTTATCTTTACCTACTGAAAGATGATATCCAAAGGACAAGAACTAAAATACCCAAATTTAAATCACTGAAAACTTAAAAACAAGAATCGTTAAAACGGTTTCCAACTTTCAAATTGAGTTAGGCTTGGTTTATTTTGAATTTTGCAAAAAGGTGCTCGAAAGCTATATGCACTAGCCATTTCAAGTTAAGCAGCGATAGTGTAGAGGGAGGGCAGCTAGTCAACGCCACCCACTGCCAACTCTTGGGCTACTCATTTACTAATGAATAGTGGGATTGACCATCACATTATTACACCAACATGGCTAAAATGGCGAGCATGTTTGGTGACGGAGATTCGAAACTGCAGATTGCGAGTCAAACTCCCTAATCACCAGGCTTTACTGAACTTGGAGTTTAGGAAAATATACTTACAGGCCTTGGAATGCCATTCATTATTTCTGGTAGTTCCAGCTTTTCTAACTTTGATAGCAACCGTTTACGTCTAATAGCCCTACGAGTATATAAAAATCAAAGATTTTTAAAGTTAAGTTCTGTTATCAGTCAATCACAAGAAATTAAACATTCTGTAAAACATCACTAGGTATAAAAACGGATGATTACATAATGGATAGATAAAAACAATAAACACTAGTCTGTAAATAAACTCACTTGGAGTGTGAAAATATGGGAAAAATAAAAGATAAATAAGTGACTTTACAAAATGCGTAGTGCCTGCTTCTGTAATGCGTAGTGCCTGTTTTCCATTCTATCTGTATATCTACTTTTCTCTGTCTTTCACTTTATATGTTTAGATGTATATTTCTATCTACCTCTCTCAATCATTTAGCTGTCATTTTTATCTGTTTCTCTCTCTCTTATTTATCTATCAAGCTGTCCGTCTATCTGTCTTTTTCTTTATCTGTATATCTGTACTTGCAGTTCACAGGTCATCTCTAAACTGCTAAAAGAAAACAGGTCTCAAATCACTTTTTATCAGCCTATATGTCTGTCTATCTGGCTTTCTCTTTATCTGTACTAGCAGTTCAAAGGTCATTTCCAAACTTATTATTCAACATTTTTCATCTGTAACAAACTAAGTAACCTGCTTTTGAAAATCTTTTAGAACATAAAATTAACATATTTTACAGTCTATATTAATTCGAACTCTTCACGCCTTCCGTCTGGCATTTCGTCAACTTGGATCTCTCATGCTTCGTGAAGGAAGAATGCCAGAAGAAGATCTTGTGTTCTTTCTGACATTAGAAGAAATAGGTACACTACTACATACCCGGTCAGCTCGCCTTTTGGCCAAGTGAGAACCCAGAGTATTAAGGTGGATAATTACTTTTTCGTTAATAAGTATTAAGGTGGATAATTACTTTTTGTTAATAAGTATTAAGGTGGATAATTACTTTTTGTTAATGAGTATTAAGGTGGATAGTTTACTTGGTATTAAACATATAGTTTACTTGGTATTAAACATATAGTTTACTTGATATTAAACATATAGTTTACTTGGTATTAAACATATAGTTTACTTGGTATTAAACATATAGTTTACTTTCGGTAACAAAATACTTCCATAATAAGCTGAGTGTTAACGTTTTCATACATTGAAACTTCCATTAGATCAGGTTAAAGTCAATGTATGTTACTCAATACAGAGAAGCTTTCATTAGACCAGGTTAAAGTCAATGTATGTTACTCAATACAGAGAAGCTTTCATTAGACCAGGTTAAAGTAAAGATATAACACTGTTACAGCTAAGCTTTCATTAGACCAGGTTAAAGTAAAGACATAACACGTGTTACAGCTAAGCTTTCATTAGACCAGGTTAAAGTAAAGACATAACACGTGTTACAGCTAAGCTTTCATTAGACCTGGTTAAAGTAAAGAT